ATATTACCCGTGAACGGTGGGAAACCACATTCGACCCTCAAATGAAACATTATTATGGTTCAATTAGCTAAAAGATGAGATGTAATGGAACATCTGTTTACATCCAAAAATATGCCTACACTTTGAGAGGGATTACAACAACTCTTTTCTCTATTCTCAGTTACCAGAAGAAAAAAGGGCAAGGGAAGTGTTCTCATCAACAAAATACATTACGGTTTGGGGACACAGAATTCCTAATAGCTTAACATTTCATATTTAAACCAAATTCCTCCAGCGCGAAACCATCCACCCACTGAGAGATTAACACAAGAAGCTTTGTCCAGCCATCCTATTCCTGTAACATAAGAGGATACAAAAGAAGATTAAAAAAAACAAAAAAGGCATCACCTTAACTCCATTTATCAACAGAGCCACCAAGCTAAAATAATTTTTTAAAAGAAAAACTGATCAACCAGATATTAGACCCCCCCAAACAAATAATAATAAACGTATCCAGCACTCTGTCCCCCAAAAAGGTAACGTGCAATGTTCACATGGTATCAACTTCACAATTCATTGCACAAATTCACCTATATACCCGCACTAAAAAAACTCCTGTTTTTATCTTAATTTCCAAAAGGTTAAAAGGTTTCCTGAATCAAAAAGCAATTTCACTGAAGTAGGTTGAATGCCATTCAAGAGAGGAAATATGGTTAAGGTAAAAGGATCTGAAATAGAAAGCTGCATGGCATGTGTGAAGAACTTTAAGAAAAAGAAAACTGGGCAAGTAGAACTGTAGGAGTGACATCAATCTGTATTTTGTCCGAGTATTTGTGTCACCATAGCCAGAGAACATGAAATGAAAGGGACAGAAAAAGGCTAAATAACAAGGTCATCTTTAGTAGTTACATAACATAAATAACAAGCTCTCCAAATCTCATTCCATCACTCAATTCTGAGCATCCATAAGGGTGTAAGAATCAAGATGAAACTTTATGAAATATTTCCAAAGCAGTAACAATTTGTCTTGTAGCTAAACTTGAGCCACAACTGTTTTAACCCAAGATTTGAGAACTTGACTTTTCAACAACTTACTAAGCAATCTTCAAACAAGAAATTACATTATCATGCTCTGCCTTCTCTTTCAATGTGGTTGGGTCCATCCTTTAAGTGATCTTTTCTAATATAACCCCAGAAAATTTATTTAAGCATACCATATTCAAATACCACTTAAACTCTTAATAATCTTGAATAAGCAAAATGGAAAACAAAAATAAGGTGTTGTGAATATCCCACATGGACATGCAAGTGCTCTAAATCTTTTTTGAAACAACTACCAGTCATCCTAAGGTCTCTCTAAGCTATACACTGTAAAACGGCATATTCTCCTTATTAGCTAACTCTCAGTTCAAGTGCAGTATAGCCCCTTTTAATGCTTGGGGAAGAATTTTGGTCTAACAAGGGCTCTCTTAGCTAAAAGTGGCAAGCATAGGAGAAGAGAGGAATCATCAAACTCAGGACAGAAAAGCATGTAGTCGTGGACAAGGAGAAACAAAGGACAATTTGAAAAACACATAGCATGGGCCAAAAAAAAAAAAAAAAAAAAAAGAATAAGAAAAAGAAAAGAAAACCACATAACAAGCATATTCTACCTCTTCCATAAGATCAGGTTCATCCTTCCTCAGTTCTTCTATCTTTTCTGTTTCAAAATTAGGCTCCTTTTGACTATCAGAGGTCATTTTATCATCTTTTTCCTGCACACTTTGGGCACCACCATCGTCACCTGGGATTTTCAAGTCTGCAGGAAGCTGACCAGTCTTCAATGCCTGTCCAAATAAAATCAGTGTGAAGTGTTCTGTTAATATTATAATTATACAAAATTTTTCCAAGATATCTTACAAAAATCAAATCCAACTAAACAAAAGTAAAAACAAAGAATAAGGCAAGAACCTTTTCAAGCCTTGCAACCTCTTCCAGAGTCTGGGAATTCACAATGGCAGCCTGCATGCCAAAAAAAGCTTAACATAAGCATCTAGATGGTAATATCCCTAAATCTTCTTACAGCCAATGATTATTGTTTCCAAAAAACTCATGCTCAAATGTGGAGGTAAAGCTCCCAAGGCATGAAATTGCTACAAGCTTCCTAGAGAAGTATGGAGCAGTTACTAGCAAATATAAAACAGTCTATTAAAGGATTAATCCAATAAACATTTTAAAGACCATGCTAATCTCAAATCCCCGCATCAAACATGTAAGTTAACCATTTTGTTCAACTGTCCTTACTGTTCCAAGTTCCATCAGATGACAAGATTCAATAAATTAGAACTTCATATTGACCATAAATTGGAATGTGTGTGTGTGATTCTCCAAATAAATCATCCCAAAAATAGGTAGAAATGTTCTTCCATTAAATAAGAAAAATGTGAGACAAAAAGTAATGCAGATCTAAAGAATGATAAAAGCAATCACATCGAAGAAAAAAAGAGAACAGAGAAGTTTTCTTTAATTTGAAGAGCAGGAAAATAAATAACTAAAAATAAGTCTTTTAGGAAGCCAGTAATCAGTGCGTTAGAGACAAAGTTGAGATTCTTGTTATGTATATGACTAAGTTATAAATTGGACAGAATTCTAGACCTAGCAAGAGCTTTAAATGTTTCCGTGCTCTATAAGCAGCATCTTTGAATGCATTTGAAGAGCACTGGAAGCACTCACTTTTCTAGCTTTCTGTTGTTCAAGTACCAAAATTAAAGGGCTGATATGCATGAGTTCAGGATCAGACCTCAGCTAACTAACAAATGAGTTATATATTCCCTATCCTGATTCTTGGTAATCTAAGTCCTTTTTGCAGTCGAGCTATTGAACTTCTAAAGCTTTTCTAGGATGCATATTGAACCTAACGATGCAACTCTTCCAAACAAAAAGAAAACTGAAAACTTAAACGTCTTAAAACCTACTGAGACATGCAATGGTACATGCTGCCACATGCTTTGATGCCAAAAAGAAGATACCTTAATAGCTATAATTTGCTCAGGAGTGGGAGCAACCACTTTTGGGGTCTGTTGTTCCTCTGCAACTTCTAAAACATTTGGTACCTCTCCTGGAGTGAATGTCTTAACAGATTCTTTCTTAGCCTCCTCTTCAACTTCTTTAGATGAAAAAAGATTTTCTGCTTCTAATCTCTCCTATAATCCATGGGGTATAGATATCAGGATTCAGGAATAAGTCCATACAATAGTTACCAAGCAAATAGGGGAGAAAAACAGACATATCAGAACATAGAATAGCCCTTAGAATGCTCAAGCCACCCTAATTGAAAACCAATCTTCTCAAAGCATGTGACATAAAAAAAAGAAAAAATGTTTTTGAATGAAATTCAAAATAATCAATGTTGCTGGAAAAAAATAAAATAAAATATGAAATTCAGAATAAGGGACAATTTTCCCTTCTTAGTTAATGTACCCTAGGTGGGTATCTAGGCAGAAGCTGGATCTAGGTCGGCGCCACCTTCAGAAAAATCCCTGGATGTTGTCTGCTTAAGTAAACAAAACCAATTTATACAAACAGATAAATACAAGCTTAGAATGTAAAATCACCTTGGCTTTCACTTTCTTGAAATCCAAAACACGAAGAGATTTTAGCTTGTGAATCACATACAACCTATAATTAGGTTTTTTTGTGATGTTATTATCCAACAGGCTAAGGAATTGCAACTTTGGGAGAGACACAAGAGGATCAATTTCCACCAAGTTGACAAGACGATTGTTGGTCAGAACTAAGGAATGTAATTTTGGCAAGAACTCTGCAGAACACAGTATCAATATCATGGTAGGCTTTCCACCAGTGAAGAAAACAAGAGTTTTTTTTTTTTTTTTTTTTTTTTTCTTACATCAAAGCTGGTGAAGAAAACAAGAGATAATAGAACACAATGGAGGAATTTTTGTTAAGAATGCTATTGCAAAGGGAAATTGATGCGTTTTGTAAACCTTACCTCCAATGTTTGGATTGATTCGAGTAATCCGATTGTTGTTTATAAGCAAAGTACCCAACCGATTAAGATATGGAAAGTTTTCCAGCTTGACAATCTCATTGTCAGACAAATCAATGGTGTCAAATTGATCCTACAAACAAGCCAACATAAGATAGCATACTTTCTTCCATAATTTTCATGGTAATCATCAAGACAAAAACTGAGAATTAACAAGTAAAGAAATTACTTCCTCAAGTTTCTCAGACTAAAAGGGATGAATAGTCAGTGAAGACTAAATAAAAATACAAAATTTTGTTTCTAGATGTTACAATTATCATCTCAATCCCATAAAAAAACCAACATGGTTAAGTTAAGTAATGGGACATGGCAGACCAATTAAACTTTTCACATAAAAAGTAGTCACCTTAGGAGCCCAAATTGTCAATAACAGTAGCCAAAAGGTATGGTTGCTCAAGCAATATCAAATCTAAAACGATAAGAGGGCTACAAGGTCACCTGACAGTTGCCTTATAACAATAACATACCTCTGTAGCACCCAGGTTCTCGATTACAGCAATCTTGTTACCTGAAAACACAAGAAAAAGTAGGAAAAAAGAAAATTAAAAAGAAATACTAGTTGAAGCATGGGTGTCGCTGATAGAGAGAAAAAAAGAAGAGAAATTTTGAGGGTTAGAAAGAGTAGCACCTCGAAGATCCAATTCTCGCTCCTTGAGGGCATTGAAGAAGTGAGGGCTTTTCCAAATCAGGTCGGCGGTGAGCTTCACCATATCTTACCTTCCAAAACTAAACCCTAACCCTATCTCGGTATGTATATACTTCTTCTCCCGCTGGTAGACTTGTGCTGTCGCAGCGCCAGCGGTGGGATTGAAATTGAATTCCACTTCCGCCCTAACCCTCTCTTCCTTAGCTCAGCAGGGTTTTTGCCTTTCTACAGGAGACAGTTTTATGCCCAAAACCTTTGCTTTCTTTACCAAAAATGCCCCCCCACCTTTTTATTTTCTTCTAATCAGTCCTACAAATGTCTGCATTTTAAAAAGGGTTTTCTGACTTCAAGTAGGTAATAATAAATATATTTTTTTATTATAAATTTATATAAAAAATAAATTTTAATTTATTAATTATATAATTAAATTTATTTATTTAATATTAAAATTA